TGTTCTATTTTTGGTAAGATTTGATCGTTTCACTAAAATTTAATAAAAGTGCGACAACATTGTCGCATACGTCGTTTTCATTGGCTATTTATGTAGTTTGAAAATCACTTATTGCATTTTAAAAAAAATATATACAGGGTGTAATATTTAATACGAATCCCTAAATTAATTTTTCCAAAGCCAGTCCTGGAATTTTTTAGTTTAGTAATACCAGTCGAATGCTTGATAGTAGTGTACTGTATCATGCAAAAATTAAAAAATCAAATGAGCCGTATAAACACTACAGTAAATGAAATTAAATGGTCAATTACACAAATCACCTGTTAATTAATAAAGAAGAGGAGTTGACATTTTTAGTGGCCACATGATATACTCCCTGAGGGACTCTTACATATGGTAGAAGTATGTAAAGTTCCTCATGACTCACCCTGTATATATATATATATATATATATACATCGCAAAAGTCTAGGGATATTTTTATAAATAGACGTATTTTCTTTATCTGTAATAAACTTAAAAAAAGTAATACAAAATTTGTAGTTTAAATTGTTGTTTATTATGTCAAAAACCATAAATTGCAAAAAAAAAAACAGAAAATTGGAACAAAAAAAAATAATTGCAAATCACGCATGTTTCACATACCACCATAAAATGTCAAAAATACGAAATATAAACTTAAAATAAAGTATGGCCACCACGTTGGTTTATCACAGCTCTACATCTACTGTTCATGCTCCGAATCACGTTGTTAATGTCTGCTTGAGGTAGTTGTGCCCATTGTTCTCTCAGAAGCTCTTTTAATTGAAACTCATTGTATATATTACCCATATGTGGAGTAACTCTACGTTGGAGCATGTCCCATACATGCTCAATGGGATTCAAGTCCGGTGATTGTGCTGGCCACGGCAATACATCAATACCGCCGTTATCCAACCAGTTTGTTACAATATGCGCAACGTGTGGTCGAGCGTTATCATGCATAAAGTAAAAATTTTCTCCAACAGCAGCAGCAAAGGGGCGCACAACAGGTTCAAGAACAGTGTCCAAATATTGCTGACTTGTGAGAAAGCCACGTGGGAAAATGAGGTCAGTTCTTCCGTTAATCATGATTCCGCCCCATACCATTAATGTACCACCTCTGTATGCATACACTTCTTGAAGATGTCGTAATCGTTCTCCATTTCCGGGTCGTCTCCAAACTCTTGTCCGACGACAATCTGGACGAAATCCATACCTAGACTCGTCACTAAACAAAACTGTGGCCCAGTCATGGTCAGTCCAATTCAGAAACTCTTGACACCAGGTTAATCTTGCAGCGCGATTGCCTCTAGATAGAGGTGGACCTCTCAGTGGTCGCCGACTACGAAGATTGGCTTCATGGAGACGATTTCTTACAGTACTGCTGCTAATTGTTACATTATGTGCAAGTTGTAATTCATTAACCAGCTCGGGTGCTGTGATTGTTGGCTGCCTTCTGGCATTTAAAATTAAATATCGGTCTTGAGCGACGGTTGTAGAGCGACCACGTCCTGGATGTTGTCCTCACGTTGCCCACGTCCTCGTCTGGACTCCCAGTGTCTTTAAACCGACGCCACAAACGACTTACGACGCTTTGCGAGACACCCAGCTGGTCAGCAACTTGATTTTGTCGCATACCAGCTTGAACTAGGCCCACGGCTCTATTCATCTCGTCCAACGTTAAATGTTGTCGTTGCATGGTAAAATACAATATCTTTAACTTACTTTTTAACCAAGAATGGTATAAAGTGACTAAAATTAAAAATAAACAAAACATAAAAATGTCGATTTTTTTGTCCCTTATACAAAACATTCTAAAACACATATTGTGTGTACAGTTTTAATTTTTTTTTTTTTTTTGATAAGAAGTGAGTGTTCTGTATCAACAGTTATAGTACAAGCAAATTTATATGGTCATGAAATTTCTGTCATTGGTATTGTCAAATTATTAAAATATCCTTAGACTTTTGCATTGTGTATATATATATATATATATATATATATATATATATATATATATAAATTATTCAACTAGTGAATTCAGAGGTTAATCGGTCATTAAGGTTGGCAAATAAAAAACAGAAGTCAACTACTTCATAAGTTTATAGAAAACGTTTCGCTTTATACTTCTAAAGCTTCATCAGTTCTCTAAAATACAAAGATGACATAGAGTTTATAAGAAATACAGATATAATAATTTATTACTTACAACTCAATATGTAGTATTAAAGATGTTAATAAATATGTACTTAAGTTTACTCATTAATATAGAACTAACTTAAAAAAAAAACAGAAACAAAGAACACAAAAACTTTGCAAAAAATAATCTCCTTCGCAGAAACGAAGATTTAACAAAATTTTAAAACGTACATTTGGCTTCATTTAGAGATCGTTCTCCAATGAAGACAAACAAACCCTGATTTATTGCAATCTCTGCAAACGACGTGACGCGGTACCGAAAATTTTAAGGGCCATATGTGCAACTAATTCCAAGGTTTGAGACAATTATGAACTTCTACGGGGGTCATTGAAGGATTACTTGGACGGGTGGATTTGTATGACGGAAAAATTTGATATGAATTTGTTTGGTAATTTATGTTTTAATGAAACTTGGAGATATGGGACGATTGTGTAAATTTTGAGCGGAAAATAAGGCTATTTTTAATGATGAATAATGGTATTATTTATTTCGTAAGATGAGAGAGTGGTAAACCTGGCTCAAATTGTCGATGTCGGTTCTTTTGTTTATATATATATATATATATATATATATATATATATATATATATATATATGACCTTTTAAATATTTATCAAAATAATATGGACCTATTAAACGTCCATTAAATAAGGCATACCAAATATGAATTCCCCACACCCTAGTTTGAAAGAGGATTTTCCTTAACCACTGCGGATTTTCCACTGACTAATAATGGGAATTATGGTGATTTACAATCCCATTATTATGGAAATAAGCTTAATCACTCCACAAAATTCTAGTTAAAAAGTCAAAGCGTCTTGCATTATCACTTACATTATGGCGATGATTTTCGATTTAATCTTCGATCCAAATCGGTGGGTCACAATTCATGAACCAAAAACAGTTTAAATGGATGGTAATAGTGGTTTTTTTAAAAGACTTTGAACTATGGTTGAAGACACTCCAGTTTCTGTAGCAATGGATCTTTTGGACACATGTGGATTAATCGTTACATATTCTAAAACATTCACTAAGTTTTGTTCAATCTGTTGCTGCATCTTCTCCTTAACCGTAGCAAAAGAGATACAAAACGGTGTTCTTGTACGATACATGAACCTACAGTGAGTGAACAGAGAAAATGACTTTATAGATTAGCTTAGTTACTAATTGTAGTTGTTAAAAAAGATTTAAAAAAATCACAGATCTCATGTATACATCAATTGATTATAGTATGAGTATTATAGGTCCATTTGACATTTCCCAATTTTCAAATAAAAATATTCCTTTATTTATCACTTCCTGAATTATGGGCTGTTAAAAACATCTTTGAACACCCTGTATGTATAATAATTTAAAGATTATTGCAAAATATAATTAAAAGATGTGAGTAATAAATTAAAGACAAAGAAATTCTACAAGTTACTATATATGCAGTGTAAAATGAATATTTAACCAACAGAGAAGGCTAAACATCAAATTTTGCCCGTAATTCAGAGCATATTATCAAATATTGCAAAAAGACACAAAGTTTTTAATAAAGTAGATTATATGAAAATACAAACCTGGAGAGAGACAGAAAGGAGACAGAAAGAATCGTCAGCTCCTATTTTATTATACTTAGAATAAAATATATGATATCCCGTAATTACAGGATAAAAGTGTGCGTAAGAAAAATACAGAAGGTTTAGATTATATATATATATATATATATATATATATATATATATATATATATATAATATATATATATATATATATATATATATATATATATATATATATATATATATATATATATATATATATATAGTAAACTTTTAAATATTGGGGAAATCTGCAAGAAAGTCTCTAATGAGTATCAATTGTTTCGCCGAACGTTTTCGCCAAAGAAAATTAATTTGGTTTCTTCAGGGCCGAAAGAGAAGAAATTATAATTAGCTACAATATATCATCTATTTAAAAAACACTGGAGATCTTATCGTAACTTAGGATTGTAGAGTTAGGATGTTAAAAAAAACTTAGCTGGTAACAACATGGTGGTGGTTTTTTTGTTACTATGTGAAAAAAGTTAACGTTGGAAATGTATGGTAGCTTTGAACTTGAAACGCAAAGGAGTACCCAAGGTTAATCGAAAAACCCAATGTAACTACATTTAAAAGTAATTAATTCTTTGAGTTGTCGGCAATAACTAAATTTTTGATTGTTGGAAAGTTTAAATATGAGGTTCTGTTTTACCAGAACCCATCCGCTGACAAGTCAAAGTAGTTCTTAAGATTCTTTATGTCGTTAAAGTTAATTGGTATAACAGAATGAAATTAATTCCCAGTTTAGGGTATTTACCGAAGAATGTTAAAAATCTCCTGGAAGGATAAGATAACTAACCAAGTTGTATTAGACAGGATGAACAAACAAAAGGAGGTCGTATTGAGTGTTAAAATGAGGAAACTACAATACCTGGGACATATTACACGTGGGAATAAATATCAACTGTTACAACTAATTATGCAAGGAAAGATTGAAGGTAGGCGCAGCATAGGTAGGAGAACAATGTCATGGTTGAGAAACCTCAGGGAGTGGTTTGCTTGCACTTCCATACAATTGTTCCGAGCTGCAGCCTCCAGGGTCAAAATTGCCATGATGATAGCCAACCTTCGTAGCGGAGATGGCACGTGAAGAAGATTATTTTAGATTTTTCTTAATTTAAATTTTTTTTTATTATATTACATTGTTCATGTATTATCATTATAATATCTTATTGAGATATATCTAAGAAAAGCAAGGGAATGTTATCTTTTTTAATTAATGAAAAATATTATTTAAGTAGGTTAGTTGTTAATGGATATATGAGTCAAGTTAGTTATCTGTGATGTTGTATTGTTCTTGGAATCTGATTTAAGTGATTTATCTGATTTAAGAAGTGGTATATATCGCTTAGATTCTTAATGCCACTCTTAACATTGATAGAGAAATCGTTAAGGAAAATATATGAGATTTCAATGAACTCTCTTTTAGATTTATTGTTCTCACGGTGGAGAATTGTAGTGTTAGTATAGTCCATGAGATGACCAGTGGAATGGGCATGTGCAATGGCCAATGCACAACGGTCAGGGTGAAGTCGAGAATCACTTTTGTTTAGTGTGATACGTGATTTCAATAATTGAGATGTTTGGCCGATGTAGGAATTGTTGCAAGAGAGTCATGGAATGTTGCAGAGAATGTTACTGAGCATATCTATAGGAATTTTATCATTGATCTTAGAATAAAGATTATTAATTGTTAGGGCTGATCTACAGGCCACATTAAGTTTAATGTTGTGATTATTCTTACCAAAGTTATTTTCAACACTTTTCAGAATCATTGTTAACCCCGGAGTGATATCTCTGAAGTATGGTAATGAAAAATGTTTGTTAATATGAGTATCCAAGACTGGGTTCCCACTTAAGACATCAGGATCAGCATTGTTAGTCGCGAAGGAAGGTGAAGTACCTTCGATATGGACAGTGTTAAACAAAATCTTATTCACTAATGGTGTTGGATAAGCGTTTGAAATGAAAAGTTTCTGTAGGATTTGTAGGTTTTTTGTATGAGAAGAAGGATCTGATTATTACTCTATTTTTCATCTGTTTGATTAAGTTGACTTTGGTAAAATTATCATGGTAAGAGTGGTAGTTAAGGTATCTACTAGAATGGGTCGGTTTTTGATACCAATCTGTTTTAATGTTGTTATTTTCCCTGATGATCCTTATGTCGAAAAAGGGGACGGACCAATTACCATCTTCCCTCTCTATATTGAACTGGATGTAGGGGTCATAACTATTGAGGGTGTCTAATAGTTCATCTACCTTTTCATTGGGTATAGCCAAGATGATATCATCAACATATTTTTTAATAAATGGAATTTGAAACGATAATAAAGGAATGACTGAGTCTAACACATAATCCATAACATAAGTTGCAATGATAGTAGAAATCTTTGCTCCCATAGGGGTACCGAAAGTTTGTTGATAGAATTTTCCATTAAATGAGAAGTAAGTGTTGTTAACGAGAAATTCGACGGTGCTGATAAATCTGTCATAAGACATGGAACAACAACCTCTATACGGTCCTAATTGATCTCTATTGATTTCAAACATATTCCTAGATGAACGTTGCTGAATAAGAGATTTAGAAGTATTTAAAATGTGATTAGTGATAATTTTGGTGGTTTTTGACCGGGTTAAGTTTTGCTCTAATTCAGATAGCAATGATGAAATTATGTATTCCAAGTCTGCTAAAAGTGTTTTTACTTGAAAATATTTTCCTAACTTTGGTTCGACGCTAAATTTATTTCCTAATACCAAGAAACCTAGAACATCATCAGGAATAGTTGAGGTTTCTAGTCTAGGTTCAATCAACAAATATTTTTCATTACCATACTTCAGAGATATCACTCCGGGGTTAACAAGGATTCTGAAAAGTGTTGAAAATAGCTTTGGTAAGAATAATAACATTACTTAATGCGGCTTGTAGATCAGTCTTAACAATTAATAATCTTTATTCTAAGATCAAAGATAAAACTCCTATAGACATACTTAGTAACATTGTCTAGTACCTTCCATGCCTCGCTTGCAACAATTCCTACATTGGCCAAACATCTTAATTATTGAAACCACGTATCACACTACAAAAAAATGATTCTCGACTTCACCCTGACCGTTTGCATTAGACAAACATGTCTATTCCACTGGTCATCTCATGGACTATACAAACACTAAATTCTCCACCGTGAGAATAATAAATCTAAAAGAGAGTTCATTGAAATGTCATATATTTTCCTTAACGATTTCTCCATCAATGTTAAGAGTAAGATTAAGAATCTAAGCGATATATACCACTTAAATCAGATACAAAGAACATCACAGATAACTAACTTGACTGATATATCCATTAACAACTAACCTACTTAAATAATATTTTTCATTAATTAAAAAAGATAACATTGCTTTTCTTAGATACATCTTAATAAGATATTATAATAATAACACATTATAACAATATATTATAATAAAAAAAATTTGAATTAAGAAAAATCTAAAATAATAATATTACCCTAAATTGGGAATTAACTTCATTCTGTTATACCGATGAACCTTAACGATATAAAGAATCATTAGAACTACTTTGACTTGCAGCGCATGCGTTCTGGTAAAACAGAACCTCACATTTAAACTTTCCAACAATCAAAAATTTAGTTATTGCCGACAACTCAAAGAATTAATTCCTTTTAAATGTAATACATTGGGTTTTTCGATTAATCTTGGGTACACCTTTGCGTTTCAAGTTCAAAGGTACCATACATTTCTACACTATGTTGTTAATAGCTTAGTTTTTTTAACATCCTAACTCTACACTTCTAAGTTACGGTAAGATCTCCAGTGTTTTTTAAATAGATAATATATGGTAGCTAATTATAATTTCTTCTCTTTCAGCCCGAAGAAGAAAAATTAATTATCTTTGGCGAAAACGTTCGGCGAAACAATTGATACCCATTAGAGTCTTTCTTGCAGATTTCCCCATTATTCGAACTTAATGATATTTACTTAGTATGGTATTTTTATTTATTTCTACTGGATTGTGCAAGGCTTATTGAACACTATTTTAAATAATATTTTCTCTGCTTGAATTCTTGTATTGGTCCTCACAATTTTTTGTAACTACTGTGATCATTTTTCGATCCTTTCTGATATCAACTTATAATGCAACTAACAAATTTAAATTAGAACTAACAACTTAGTTTTAGTGTTCATTATTAACAAGACACTGATCCATGCTGCTTGCTCAGCACCTATCACGCTTGCAAATCATTTCATACACTCTACAGCTTCACATGCATTTTATATTACTATCTGAGACTATTTTTCAGGTGTCCAAGAACTGCCGAAGAGGAAGATATTGACTTAGACTGTGATATGCCCGAAGTTAATCGACAGGATTATGATACTGATCTGGAAAGCTTCGAAAGGGAAGAAAGACGGATGGAGGAAGAGGCTGCAAAGGTAAATATTATATTTATATATTTAATATATATCATTAAAGTGTTTATTAGTATGTTCAAAGTAGACCAATGAGTTATTTGTTTGTAACATAAATTTACTGACAATTTCAAAACTAATGTCTTAGTAGTATTCTTTAGTTTCTAGTTGTTTTTGTTTTACTTCACTATATTAACACAACATACAAATTGGTCCTTATTTGGTCTACTTTGATTCGTGTCACTAAGAAGCTAGAGGGCTTCAACTCGACACCGTTAAAAAGGATTGTTAAAATGTAAGGTTATATACGTTTAGCAATAATTGTCTTTTCTATTATTTATTTTCTATTTTATTATCTAGTAAAAAATGTGCTGTCCGTTATAGAGCTTTTATTTGATTAATATAAACTTTTTTTTTATTTAATTTTTGTTACAAGCTTCCTGTGGATAAAGAACTGGTAATCAAATTAATCCTTTTAATTAAAAAAATGTCTACAAAACGATTCTTTTTAGGAGGCAGAAGTCAAACGACTTTTAGAAGAGAAAATTCAGGAGAAGCTTCGAAATCTCGAAAATATTGTGTTAGAGCCTCTAGGGCAAGAGAGAACAAACACAGCTGCAGAAGCGAGTCCTTCCGAATGGTCTGAAGATGAAGATGGAGGAGCCTCCGAACCTCTTTTAAATGACAGGGAATCTACGGGCTATACAACGGATGATCCTGCATTAGAGAATATTTCTATGATTAATGAGACTGGATTGACAGATGCAGAAGGTGAGTCAGTGATGTGATAAGATATGAATTTACTTTTACAGGATGAAAATATAAAAAACCATTCCACATATTTTTAAATATATTAAATTTTTAATATATTTATTTATTTATTAAATAGAATTAGAATATTTATTAAAAAAAATATATTAAATATTGTATAATTTAGTTTAACTCGCAAGGTAATTGTATATTATTAAGTATTCCCTATATCCATAAACTTATGGTGCTCATTATACAACTTTTAGCTAAGCTCAAGCAGGGTCTTGTACATGTCGGGTATTATCTAACTATTGAGATCAGTTAAGATGAGATTAACCTTTTTTAATAATCAAGAATATATTATTTACTGCTCGCTTTAAGTAATAAATTAAGATGAGTGATAAATTATTATGAATAGGGAAATTGTTTGAAAGACTAGCAGCTGGTATGCAAACATTTCTACCAAAATTTTAATATTTTATCAAATATGTTTTGACAATTTTACTTCTAGATTTTAAATTGTACATTTCAGAGGAGTCGTTTGATCTCAAATATCTTCTGTATAACCTACATCTATGTTTAAATCCAAAAGATCTAAACTTGTAAAAAAAATTATTCGTTGCGGAGATACGTTTATTACCTGATTAGGCTCTACTTCTTACATGTGATGGTGTTGAAGAACAATATTACCCTGCACCTTGTAGTTGCATACAATATGTTCGGCTAAGTGATATTACATTCCAATTTTTTGTAAACAATCTAAGCATTCTGGATGTTAAGATATATCCAGATTGATCGTATTAATTATCAGTTGTGGTTCTTTAATAATTTCGTTGATACGGCATGAAATTAACTTAATAATCACTTGACTGTTTATATTCGATATTTTTTGTATCCGCAGCATTTCGTTTGCCTTTAATAAATTGGTTTTATGAATGCAATATGAAGAATTCGGCTACAGATTAGTCTTAATTAAGATTCTCTTCTGGAACTAAATACAATAATGATTACCAAGAGAAGATAAGATCTTATCTTATCTAAGCACATGGCAAAATGTATATTATTATGGATGGATATATGCTAATAGAGCTGAAGTACTGCGGAAAACAAGCAGGAATTAACAGTCTTCCCTACTAGACATGCTCTAGTCAAAGGACAAGTGCATAGAATGGGAGTGCTTCATGGAGACTTCAGCAGAAGGCTATATTATAACAGAATTTGAAACAGTCAACCATATCTTGTATGTCTTCGAAGATCACGGACGCAAACACTTTTTTAAACTATCAAGTGAGTCAAAACGATTCTCCCGATAGTAGCAAAGATATGTGTCTAAAGTCCCTTTGGTATGCCACCATGTTTAATTTTTCTTTGTCGATGTATTCGATAGTATTGAAGATACGTGTCTGAAGTATATTTGGCATTTTGGTATGTTTAATTTTTGTGTGTCATCGAATTATATTCATTAAAGCATGTAATATAATACCTCGCACGTCACTATTTGCCCGACAGTAGCAAAAATACGTGCCTGAATCCCTTTTGGAATTCCCGTCATGCTTAATTTTTCTTTATGCTATCGTATTCTATTCAGATCCTATTCACTAAATCCTGCCATATCACATCTCATATGTCACGATCCAACTAGCTGTTCTACTCTCTCCACAAAACGCTCAAAAACCGAACAGAATGAACCTTAGAATTTTTTATGGAGATTTACATAGGAAAAATTATTATTTTGAGGGCGTAGGCACATAGCCTATTTACTAACACATAGTACCGATCCACTAGACTATACTGTTAAAACCTGGTACCGGGTTCCAAAATTCTGGAATGGTTTTCATGTATACGGCAGACTGCTACCCAATACTCCAGATGTGTCATAGTAATAAACTTTGGGAGGAAGAAACTTTTATTCTAACAGAAGAATAATTCTGATAAAATTCCTTATTTACGAGAACTTACTAAAAAAATCTACATACTTCGGGCTTCCACCAACTAAATAAGCAATAACGTCGTTATCTGAAAATAATTAAAACTTCTGTTGATATTAGCTAACTACAATGATCATATGTTGAAAAATGTCTATTATTATCATAGTTTATGAAGTAAAAGTAAAAAAGCAAATAAAACTACATACTCTTATACTAAAACGATCACTTTTATTACAAATTACATAAACTAATTGGCCGTTCACGATTTATTATTACGGTTGATTATATTTAGATTTGAACCTTCTTCGTTGTCTTCTTACGATGTCTATCTTTTCCGGATATTGGCAATTAACATGTCATCTTAACGTTGTTGGCAGCTACTGAAAAAAGTCGATTGTAAATTTGTTGAACTATTTTCTCCGGTTTTGAAACCAAGAAATTCTTCTTCGTGATACTCTTTATGTATACATCTTGCCCTGAAGAACAAGTTGTAACAAACCGTATCTCTACTTGTTTTTCATAATATGACCCAGATATTCTAATTGGCGGTTTTTTATTTTATATTCCCCATTCTATATAATTTCAACATTAGTCACCCGGTCGACCTATGAAATTCGTAAGATGCACTTATAACATCACATCTCGAATGTTTCGAGCTTTTTTAAAAGAAGAATTAGAAAGCATCCAGGCCTCTACTCCGTACAACAACGTTCAGGCCGACAGGGATGCCGTGAAATGGGCGGAGCTTGCACTGCGCAGAGTGAGAAAGTTTAAAATCAAAAAAGGATGCACATACCCGAACATTTACGCGTGAATTTACGTTGAATAATCACTGGCTAGATCTTAAAATGTTTGCAATGTTGTCAAGATGTGGATGATCACAGTACCTAATATTGGGAATTTTTAGTATCGTACTACCTAACAAAATAATATTGTTCGGAAGCTATTTGCTTGTGGTAGATTATGCAATTTACTATTTTATTTGGCAGTAAGCCACAATTTAAGTTTGAAATTAAATTTATTTGACGACTTCCATTGTTTTTGTTGCTTGGTAAAAAAATTCTTCTAATAATTTAACTTACCTGACTCATTCATATTAAAAATTCAGCCATATATTATATCAACATTTTAAAGTATATGACTTTATTGACTCAAAAAGACTCAACCAATAGAAACAAACAAATAAAATTAAAATTAAAAAGCTCCTGGAGAATAACAACAGAAATTATAAAAAAAAACATGGAAAAAAATGGAGAACAAGTATTACTAAAAAGAATTAATGACACGGAAAAATAAAAATATCCCGGAAGATTGGAAAGTGTCACCAATAATACCCATATACCAAAAAGAAGATAGGAGAGAATGTAATAGCTACCGAGGATTGACGTTGATATGTACATGTATGAAACTTCGAAAAAATAATAAACAAACTATTAAGAATAATGTTAGAACACACACAGACGAAGGACAAAGTGGATTGAGAAGTTGTAGAAATATACAGGATCATATATATTTAATTTAAAACAGATAACACAAAAAGCGACAAAAGAGAAAAAGCCTTCAATAACGTACCAAGACAGAAACTACCGAAAATACCAAGAGAAAAAGGAATGAACAACAAGCTACTAAGAATATACAATGAGAACAACAATGTCGTAATTAGTAATAATTCAATATCACATACGTTTACAATACATAGAGGTTAAGACAGGGAGGAGCACTTAGCCCAACAGTATTTAGAATATATAAGGACAAAATTATTAAGGATAAAAGAAATGATTAAGAAAATTATGCACAAAAAGGAATAAAAAAACTCTAAAAGGAGAAATGAATAGCAGAGTAGAGAAAACGCTACAATTGTATCTCACAGTGTACAATTTATATGCAGCAAAAAAAATATATTTGATTTTTATTATACATATTAATAAATAATATAAATTAAAAAATGATCTTCTTACCTTTAAAATTTTTAATTTTAGCAGAGTTCTGAAAAGAACTTTTGTATAGAACAAGTACAACTAAAATAAAAAGAAACAATGCAACACTGTAAAAATATCGAACAGCTACCCGTAGAACGTCCGGCGCACGAATGCCTTTGCTTGAAGTGGCTCAACCCCTACTTTCAAATTTATATATGCGCGGTAACAACTTTATTTCACGAGAACCCTGTCTACCAGTACATACCTAAACCAGTGATCATAATGGCGCTTATATCGCAAAACCTGTCCTATTACAGAAGATAGATTATCTTTTAATTATTAAAAAAAAATTGTAACGTTGCATACATGCTGTTCTAAAAGTTCTTACGAAAGCTAATCATACCGCATTACTTTTCAAAATAGCCAGTGAATGTTCTACTTCACACTTCAACAAAATCATAGCTATAATTTCCCACACGCGAGTTTGTTTTATTTATAAATATTATTCTGTCCAAGTATCAATTTTTCCTTAAATTTCTTTAAATAAAAAAATATATATGAATTTTCTAAAAACTGAATTTACCAGCGGTAGATATTACAGATATTTGCAAGAATATTTAAGTGATAAACCAATTCATTATGTTTTATTTCATTTCTGTAGTGAAATATTAATTAGTGCTTCTTGATTTTAATTTTACGGAATGGGTCTACAATGTTGCCTTTTTATAGAACATGAACTTGTTATAATTTATTACTTATTTTTAGGTGCTCTAAGTGATGTAAACTCGGCATACATAGACCACAACCATGATGCAGACATGGACGACAATACCTCGATGTCATCTCGTGCTTCATCTAGGATATTCGACTCGGATGCTATGATGTCGCTGGATTCGCTGAGTGCTCTCTACGATTCAGAATACGACAATTGTTACCGCACCGACGACGACTTAAACGCAGTGCCCGACTTAGATAGACTAAACTATTTTTCAGTGCCGACCGACGATGTGCATTTGGCCAATATACGGTCCATGAGCGAAAGCATTACTAGAAATTTCGGTCAACCCAGGAGCGAAACTGATCCTGATAGCGACGTTTAGGGAATATACTAAGATTCTTTTATTGGTAAAACGAATTAACAAAATCGAATAAGAGACTAAAGGGATGTGTGACGCGGGGCTAAATTTTAAGACTAAAACCAGACAAATAATAGAAAATCACAAAAATATACATCATGTTCGTTGGTGAAATATTATCCACTTATTTTGGCAATATATATCAAAACATTAAATTCGTAAAACATAAGATTAACACAGTAACCATTATATCCATAGAATGTCGAAAGTTAACATTTTTACCCAAACTTAGATTATATTTTAACTTCTCATTAAAATAAAATTACTAATGACAGCATTTGTCAACATCATCGTAAAGTTAATAATTTATGACGACATTGTAAACTTAATAAAAACAATAAAATAAAGGAAAGAATATAATATTCTTTTCTTTAATAACACTCGCAATATACACTAGCAATATACAAAAAGTCTTTTCTTAGATTTAATCAAGTTGTTCCTTTTTATTTTGGTTCTTGTTCAACAAAAATATGTTGAATTTGTGTTGTACGTTATACTGCTTTATTACCAGTAGTAATATCCCTAGGACATGGATAACAGACGAGATAATTTCATGAAAATCGGAAGCTCATTCCTTGGGAACAGCACAAAGCCGAAGGCTGAGTGCTGTTACCAAGCAACGAGCTTGAGAAATTTGTCATGAAATTATGAGGCATTCATCAACGTCCGAGGGATATTCGGCGGATAATTTTTCGAAAAAAAAATCATAACTTAACATAACGAAACATTTATTTATTAACAGTACAGTTAGTGAAAGTACAATTATTAAAATTTAAGTTAACATTAGATTCGTTGCTGTTCTCTACTATAGAAGATCTATTACCACGCATAATATTTATAATCTTGTTGTGGTGTTCTTGATCGAGATTCAAGTATGGTTTTATAGAATTCTGATTGCCATGAAACGTGACATTTTGAAATTTATTTGGATGAAGTTGTCAAACTCGATCGTGTTGTCATAGGGATTGAAAATTGCACTGAATGCAATTATCAATCTAATGTTGACATGATTGGGTGAAATTGTTCCACATGACACAAAATGACGAAATTTGAATGGTTGTTAGAACAGTCGAAAAATTATCCACATAATTAATATTGGAAATTGGATCAGTTTTGTTAACTATTTAACATTATGTCCATTATTCTTTATCATTTTTTAATCCAACTGATTTTTTTTTAATTAAATATAAAGCTACAATTCAAAATTGAACCCTGGAGTGTCTGCCAAAATAAGTGTATTTATTATATATATTCACCAATTTTCACAAGGACATAGTTAGGAACATATCTGTCCAGCTCTTAGTCAAATTAGATTTTTTACTGAAGTGGACTTGAATAGGAAATATTTGCGTGGGATAACAAAAAAATTTGATGAATGGTTTGGAATAAAAGAGGTGTAATTGTGCCTGTATATATATTTTTTTATAGTGTAATAATATTTTCTCTTTAAAATTGGTATCAAATAATGTTTCATAAGTAGATTTCTAATTTATTGATCGATCACTAGTACGCCTACAGTGAAACTGTAATAAAGTGAAGTGTGGTTTCTGTCTTCAGATAATTTAGGGGTTTCGATAGCGAGCGATTTCCCAGATGATCCAAAACAATATGTCGGTCACAAAACGATAATAACATTACCTATAATGCATAAACGTTTGACTTAATTTCTGATTCGACCTCAAATTCCATTATAAGAGAACAGATAATTATTTTAAAAACTTCAATTTGAGTTAACTTTCTTAAAATAGAAATAGTTAAAATGTCGCTTTTTATTATCAAAAATAAAATAACGAGACAACTTAATTTTCTAAGATTTTTTCTAATAGAACTGCGAACTAGCATAATACTGCAAAATTAACAAGTACATGAATTTAAACGTATATGCTTTCATTTGACACATGCCTTGATCTTAAGTGACGATCATATTTATATTTCTTATATGATTTCTATCTTTTTAATTTCTTCATTTTTTTGTCATTATCCTTTTACAATATACTTGTACGGGAAAATAACACCACATCACTTTTTAGAAGTTTGTTTTAAAAATGTATACATACTTTAGCGAGTTATTGCTTACGGTTGAGTCATCTCTTCATTCTATATTTTAGAAATTAGAATATCCGGAAGATAAATGTTCCACAATTTTCTTTGTATTATTTTCAACAATTATATCAATAGACTTTTTTTGATTGGTAATATAAGTTCTTAGGTATTTTGATGACCAGTTATTTTAGTATATTTTTCCACATGAACCCGGTTTCTTTCATTATTAGAACATTGCATCACTTAGTAATTTTACCAATTTGTTATCCTTTGTCAAGTGGTACATAAACCTCAAAAAAATTTACATCTTGACTTATTCTCTGTTATGTTTCCACTGTAAGTAGTATGTTCCATTGTAACATTATTATATACTGAATTTGATATTTAAGAGATGCATAAAGTCGTGTTGTATCGTGTAGATTAGGAATTCCTGAACATCAAAGATTCATCAATTAAAAGAAACATGCGGTATTTATAATTTCTTTATTATCTGGTTACTCAAAGAACGATCTGGATTCTCAAAGAACTATTGGCATCATTTGTATTTTTAGGCACCTAAATCAAGGTTACAGAATACAACATGATATTATATGGGTATCACATGCACTGGCCATGATTATGGGTCATATAAAATAGATCAACAGATCACAGTATACATAATGATTGTTAGCACGTTTTCAGATTTCTTTCGACTGTATATGGCTCGGTCTCAACATTTTGTTATACTTGTAGCTATTTTTTTTTTCTTTCGAGCAGTAGGCTGTGAGTCGTGATAACTCAAATTCTCAATGTACGCGATACCTTACCCAATAGACGGGTAGATATTCACGTCCAGTACTCAAATACTCCACTTATCATCGGGTGAAATGTAAATCCTTACTTTTTGAATGAATCTTTTTTTTTATTTAAAAATAATGTAAATTCTTCTCCTAGCAGTTAAATATTAAATAAACATCATTCGGAGAAAGGCTGGTAAAATTTAAACTTTGACGTTCTAGATTTAATACACTCCACGCCCGCTGAACTCTTGAAGGATTCCCCCTAAGTCACCGTAAAGAAATACATTGCGAATAGAAAGCAAATGCTACACAAATATATTTGTCCAAATACATTGGATATGAGATATGTCTAGACTGCTTCATGCATTTTGAAAATAATCTGAAATGACATGTAAACATAGAGAAAATTAGTAGTACCTATGTATTAACTTGTTGAACGTATAATTATTGTTAGTTTTGTATTAGTATTATACAAATGTCAAGATAAATATTATTACACTATTTGATATAGATATTTCAAAATTGGTGCTTACGGCATTGATAAAAAGGGCTGAATTTTGTGATCTTTTTCTTTATTGTTAGGGTGGCTCTCTAACCTGAAAAGATTAGTTGTGCGCCATTTTCTGTAGTTGGTTAGAAACCAAAGATGCAATTATTATGAATAGTATTAGTTACTCGATTATTTTTCTTTCTCGAATTTTGACCATTTCACAGCCGACTATAAAATTACTGTATTGTTATTTTTGTTATTTTTCAATGTATTGGGGTATCTCACAAGTATTAGATTAAGTGGAAAATTTTATTATTAAGTTTATTTGACGATAAAAAATTATTTAAGTTATAAATAACTAGGTGATATCTTTTTATTGTTTAGCAACTCTGAATAAAAGAACAAATGTACCGTATAAAAATAAAATTAAATATATAAATATTTTATTGGCTGTATATTTTATAAACTTTATTGATTTTATATTTTATAATTGCACTGAGTTCTTGGAACCTAAAAAATAACACATTTAAAAAATAGAAAGACATAATTCTTTCAGGACTAAGATCTTCTCTCCTTCAAACTATATTCAAAACCATAAAACTTTAATTAATATTGTTTTTACTGCCACTTGTGTAATCCTTACATAGTGTAGGGTGCCATTTAAAAAAATAATTTGACATGGAATCAAATATCAGTACTACTTTAGTTGTGAAAGCTTGTTCCAGGTTAATTTAATTTTCCAGTTTCCCATATTCACACACAATTTGTACAAACCCCAGCTCCGAGTGACATGTGTGTTCCAATCGATCAGTGGGACCCACTTGTCTGAAGATCAAACAGGTCACACTCCTTAATGGAGGATATCGCAGGACATAACTAATGAGGTGGCTTTTGTACAGAGCGTTACTTTGGATGCCCTGGGTAATGGTACATCCTCTTTTTTACGTTGTGTGTTTAGGCTACCCAATTTTAGGGGTAGCTAGACGAGCTTTTCTCCCTATGACTGATGTACCTTAATGGGACGTACTTTGGAATATTCAGAGCTTGTCTGATCATGAAGTTCTGAATGGTCTGTATCCTTTTTCTGTTGGTATGTACGTATATCCCCATGCTGCTGGGGCATATGTTAGTTTTGGCTAAATTATGTAGTTTGCCATCCTAATGTTTGTTTTAAAATTCAGAGCTATTCGATTATAAAATTCGACCTATTAGAGATGAGAGGTATTAAAGGTCAGCTTTGTATCCAATGTTATGCCTAGATATTTAACTTAGTTTGACCATTCGATTGGGATATGGAATATGGATAATATCCCATTTGATGCTATCTGATAGTGCCTTTTTTTGGTACATGACGGTCAGTGTTGTGTCAGGATTAACGGCTATTTTCCACTGCACACACCATGTATCAAGTTTATTGAGAGCTGTTTGTATGTATGTAGTTTGTATGTTTGTATGTAGACTGACGATACAGCTACTGCTGTATCGTCAGTCTCGACTTCGGGCAGGGGGCCCTATACGAACTCAGAAATTTTTGACGGCTAGGTATGATGAATCTAATCAAATTTATTTGTTTATTTATTGACATTGTCAAGGATGTGATCAAGATGTGACATTTTTTAAACGAAATTATATATCGTATGTTATACAACATT